TGTTTAGTATTTGGGCGGTACTGGGGATCGTCAGGAGATTTTAGGGGTGAGGGGAAGCTGGGGCCTTTCTTGTCGATCATCTCGACAGTCATGCCCATGGCCTGTGGGGATGACGAGGATGTCGGAGAAGATTATGGCAGCGTCAATGAGCCCTGCGTAGCGCTCGATGGGTTGTAAGGTGAGGGTCGAGGCGATTTCGGGGGAGCGACAACATTCGAAGAAGTCATGTTGGCCCTTGACTTGGTGGTATTCAGGGAGGTAGCGGCCGGCTATGAAGATGGTGTTGTAAGTCAGAAAGTGGAACTCTTTTGTTTATAGTTGTTTATTTTGCATCATTTGATTATTTCCCCTTTGAATTGATTTATCGTTTTTCTATTTTATTTTCTCTCTGAATAGGTATAAAGGCTGCGAGTTCGAGAACTGGGGAGGAAAACGTGGGGTAAGTAGAAGTATCATACCTTGCCGCATAACCCATATTGGTGGGCGTTCAACCTTTTCGCCTACAAATCACAACATTAATTAGCTGGTGGACCAACGGAAAGGATTTCAGGGAGCAAATATACCTCGAGCGGCCCTTAGCAGAAGATCGTTTTTAAGGGGTTCGAATTGATGCGACATGTTGACTGTGGAGTTCGTGCTTGCGAAAGGATCAGAAAATAAACTATTGACGAAATTAGTTCCGGGCAAGTTGCGGAGTCTGGAAACTCGGGAGATTTTTCAAGTGTTACTCATTGTCCCACATCGAATATTTTTATTTTTATTTTTATTTTTTATATTTATCCACCCTTGTCCATCCTATTCATGTTTGGACGATGGTTAATTGAGAGAATCAGGTTCCTATGTTTCAAAATTTCTAAACCCTTAATTTGATCTTCGTTGATACTATTGTACGCAAAGCTATAAAAACGGTGCTCATATCCTATGGATGCTTTGAAATTTCATTCGTCTCCCTCCTTCACCCATTTCCGAAGATTTCCAACACCGTACAACGAAGATGCAATTGCTTGCGCATTTCTTTTGGCCTCCTTTTCATTTTCAGAAGTGGCTAACTGAAATGTACCATGATTGCTGATCTCCTTCGCCATGTCGCTATCAACTTCCTTCCAATGGAAGGTTTCTTTTTCCCACATTATCGAAAACACCTGAATAAGCTGTTGCGGGGCATCTGATGGTTTTCGCTGCTCCGTTGTCGATCCAGGCTTGTGTACATTGTCTACCGATACAACGATGTTGCCCTTGTTATCGATAGACGTGACCCCGAGGGCATTCCCTGAAAGATGCACGGGATTCTGCGCGACAATCTTGCCGTCAGGACTAAAACTGAAAGGAAAGAGTTTTGGCATCCTAGCGCAGAAAAAAGTTAGCTTATTGATGCCCATTACAGGTATCAAATTTCGGTTTGGATTGCCTACCCTTCTAGAGTTACGAGAACCACACCGGGTGTTTTCACTCTCAGGGAAAAATCGGCTGAAAAGGACATCGCATATATTCCGCTTACGGCAATTTCTGGTGGAGATGGTCTATCTGCTGTTGCGGTGGCGTCTTCGTTTGATGCCATGACAATACCATCTACGGGAATTGGAATTTTTTGCAGAAGTTTCCCTTCCGCCCAACGCCAAGCCAGAATATAATCATCCCCCCCGCCCGATATCAAAATCGACGTGTTCCATGGCAGGACACATAATCTGCTCACAAATGCAGTATGGCCTAAGCAGTAGGTTTGAATTATGTGACACTGAGGGGGCCCCCTAGAGACCCGAATATGCTCATCTCGATCCGCAGTTATTATGTAAGGGCGAGAAACTGCGGATTCAGGATCGATGCACAAATCCACGAATGCGATGTCAGTGAGCATAGACACATGTCCTAGAAGTAGCTTAAGCTCGAATGTAGGGCCAGTCTTCTCCGGAATCTTCGCGCCCAATCTGAGCTGCTGCTCGAGGGCTTGTAGATTGCGTTTCGTATGGACTGTGAGTACGGAAGCAGATGGCTGAAGGGGCTGTGAAAACTGCGCGCTTTTCTTGGGAGGTGGTTTGTGGTTTTCTGTTGGGAAAATTGGAAGAGAGTAGACATCTCCAAATTTATCTCCACATAGAATGGTAGATTCGTCACTCGACAGTACGACTGCACATGGTCGTTTGGGCATACATCTAGAATTGTGTTAGGACAATTGACAGATTTTTTTCTCATATTCTGGGGTTTTCTAAGAGACTGATATTTACCGTTCGCTTAATTGGGAGAGAGCCCCGCTCGAGTTCACTGCAAAGACTCGTATACACTTATCTTCTGCAGAAACTACAACGATGTGTTTCCCCGATTTTGAGGCTGTCACAATTGGGATCGTCTCCCATGCCAATTTCGAGTCTTGCGCTTTCTTAGATCCATTGACTTTAGTCCCCTCTACCTTACTTTCTTCAGCACTGACAATATCTTGTGAGGCTTCTGGTGAAAGCTTCCGCCTTTTCTCGGGAGGTTCACTGCCTTCAGTGTCACCCTTACTATGGGAGTCTGCATTCTTTGCATTTGTAGCTTTGGCCTGCGGCTCGTTGTTCAAGGGCCAGGCGCAGAGCGAATGCCCCGTTCTGCCATCTAACACATATATTCTTGGTCCAGCAGCTCCCACAAGGAAGTTTGGAGCCCCCGGAGCGCAATCCCCCAGCCACTGGATGCACTGGAAGGGGTGCTGGAAAGGCATGATCTGAGAATCGATCTCTCACGGAGAACATATGTTTCGGGGCTCACCACACAAGATGCAATTTTCTGATGTTGCGAATCAGATTAATCCATTTGAGCCAATGAAAGGGAGTCTTGGCAAGTTCCGGGGCCCTTGAAAGCTCACCATTGAACACGATGTCATTTTAAGCAAGATTTATGTAAAATATGGAGGACTCTCAAAAAAGAAAGAAAGAAAGAAAAGGAAGAAAGTAAAAAGAAAATATCATGCCCTACATGAATAATTGATCGCCTTTCAGTTTCCATATCTCAGGGAGGCGAATGTTCACGTGATCTAGCCTTGGCCCTAGTTAGCCGAATCCACAAGCAAAAATCTCGACAATAATCTTTGGAAAAATCACAACCACGGCCATCCTCCGTGTCAACACTCCAATTTCCTCCACGATATTTACCTCGCCCTTAAACATCCTATCTTCATCCCAATAAGAAGACATGGGGGGCAGGTCCGCGAACAAAGCCGCTTACTTCGATAAGCTGAAGGCGCTGCTTGATGAGTACCGCTCGGTCCTCATCGTCACTGTCGACAATGTCAGCTCCCAGCAGATGCACGAAATCCGCCTCAGCCTGAGAGGCGAGGCCGTTGTTCTCATGGGAAAGAACACCATGGTATGCCAAACAAGCGCCGATGGCCGTTCCGGGATGTTGATTGCTAACAATTGATCTCAAATTAGGTTCGCCGTGCCATCAAAGGCTTCGTCGCAGATAACCCGGAATATGAGCGTCTTTTGCCTCACGTCAGGGGCAATATCGGTTTCATTTTCACCAACGCTGACTTGAAAGATGTCAGACAGAAGGTGCTTTCAAACAGGATTGCTGCCCCTGCTCGTGCCGGTGCATCGCTCCTTTGATGTCTATGTCTCCGCTGGGAACACCGGCATGGAACCCGTTAAAAACCTCTTTCTTCCAGGTTCTCGGTGCCCCTACTAAGATTGCTCGTGGTACCATTGAAATTACCACTGATCTGAAGCTCGTTGAGGCTGGCTCGAAAGTCGGTGCTT